AAATTTTCTTGTCAATCGCACGAGTTTTCGAGTGAAATTCGTCTAATTAAATTCGAAGGTGAGTTTTATCGAAATCAGGATCGAAATAGCGAGGGAAAATCGACGTTCTCGCCAGCAAACTTTCAATCGACGCCTTCGAACCGGCCGGCGGAATAATTTACACCGATACGATCTCGAACACACGTCGCAAGAAGGAAGTGTCGCAGTGCCGTTGAACGTTTGCGAACTCAGACGCGAGCGATCGAGATAACCGGAAGGCTCCAAGTTCCCCTGTCCCCCTTATCTTTTATCGCTCGCCCCTGCGATCCACTCGATTTCAGTTAATTTGAACTTCGCGCAAACTACCGCGGCTCTTCTCCCCTCGCCTGGCATTTTCCGTGGAAGAACGGGGATAAAAGTGAGGGAAATACGAAAGTATCGCGCTGCCCTCTGCCTCTAAAGTAAATTACAAATCGATGGGGAAAAGGAGGATGATGAACGTTAAACGGGAAATAGGAAGGAATAATCTCGATGGAATTTATGCAAAATAAAACGAGGATAAATATGTACTTTCTTTAAAATTGATTCAGCTGTAGTTTAACTTCGCTACCGGGATATTCTATCTCTCATCTAACTGAAAATCGAAAATTTCAAAAAATTCACTATAGTTTCGAGAGACTAGTTAAAATTGGAGTATGCAAGAATTATTATTGAATTTCACGTGAAAAATTGGTTAAAGTTTTTAGCTACAAATTAAGATTCGAGTGTATGGAAATTATTATTCAATTTCGTGCAGAACATTGGTAAAACTTTTTAGCTATAAATTAATTGGCAAAATTTGTCAGCTCCAAGTTAAGATTCGATTGTATGACAATTATTATTGAATTTCGCATAAAAATTGGCAAAATTTTTCACCTACAAATTAAGAAATTTCACATCCAATTTCTACATTTTCCTCAAAGTGTCGCTCTCAACTATTCAATTTAAAATAAACTATATTCCCCCGATCTAAAAAACCCAGAACATTATTTTTTCACGCGAACGTTCACGGTAGCTGCGAGGTGTGCTCACGTCAGGCGGACACCTTGCTGAACTCCCGGGATTAAAATAATAATAACGTTTGAAATTGGACACGGTGGTGGCGGTACCCTCGTAATCTTCGGTGGCCATATGCCGGCTGGAACGAAGCCAGGCGAACGTGAAAAAAAGAAGAAAAGAAAAAAGAGCGATCGCATACCTAATCTGGCATTGTGCGACCGGGTTAGGGTCTCCTAACTTTATTCAATCGCGACCGTGCTTCGTTATGGTCTCGCATTTCGAAGGAAGACGAATGGGATCGAGGGGGGAAACGAATAGGGTTATTCTTGGCGCACGTGTCGCGAAATCCGCTCGCTCCACGATAAGATGGCGATGATAAGGGGACCACCGAGTGGATCCAACGCTATACGCGACGCGTATAATCGACTACCGTTTCGAATCTTCACATTTACTTTCAATTATGGTCCCATGGATATCGTTCATCTTGGTTCCTCTTTTTCTTTTCGAGCGAAAGAGAACGATAGGCGTTGCAGATCTGCGAATTCTTCGTTTGAACGCGAATACGCGTATCTTACGGTTGAAACGAAATACAATTACGATAATAGGTTTCTGTGTTTTTTCATATTTTCATTATTTTTCTTCTCTCTCTGGTTATTAAATTGATTATCGTTCCGTTGCGTGTCGTAAAATTTCATATCAATTTCTATGTAGATATATATGGAGTACGTCTGCCGCCCCTCGAGGAACTATGAATAGAAACACTTATTGGAGAGAGGGTAAAGCTCCAAAAGGAAAACGAACAGTGTGTTTCGTATTCAATTTATACGAGTGGTCGTAAAATTGAATATAATGTGTCATTCAATATGTGCCTATTTTATCATGAATTCAGGTTTGATCTAAAGCCCCGCGAATTAAAATGGAAAACGGGAAATATTGAACGAAGAGGTACAATGTCCTCGGAACGTTTTTGCAAAATAGTCGACGATTGTATTTTTAATACTTCCAAAGGAGAAATTAAAAAATCTCGAAACAAAAGATATTTAACTAATATTAACAGAACCGAAGTAATTTTTAATATATTATTTAAACAAACGACCTTTCCTCAAATCTGTGTACACAGTCAAATTGATAATTCAAAAATACAAAATTCTTCAATTCACAACATTCCTCTATCTCGAAACATTTTTAAGATATCGAACGAAACATTTTCACAACCCCCAACGTTAGACTGATTTTCACCCGTTCGGTATAAACAATTTTATTGAGGATCTTTAATTAGCGAATAAAGATTGACTCAATCGACTGCAGAAAAAAAGAAAAACGTTTATTGATAGAAATGAAATACAAAAAAAAACGGAGGCGAAAACCCGAGTGAAAAACTCGGTTACTCAGTTCGGGGTTGTCGCACGACTACTTGAAATGCGGAGAAGCATTTGTTATATACTTGGATCGGAACCACGGTCAGCGGACCCATGGCTTTTATGGCCCGGCCTGGGCCTACGTTAAGCAAAGAAACTCGCAGTAGGAAAGGAAAAATTCAAAATATAATCTATTCTCGATAATTTTCCTAAAAAAAAAAACGTGTCAAATATCCTGCTGAGCCCTTCCAAGGCTAATTTTCACCCGTTCAATACGAATACTCAATAGTCTAAATTAAAATTCCAATTCCTCTGATATTGAAATTGGTTTGACCAAAATCGGTGATTACTACTTAAGGACGTTTCCCTCGTTCCTCCGATTTCACAGTCCCCATAAAATATGTGTTTTAATATAAATTCGTCGCAAATATCGACGCGGTTAGCGAAGGTATTCAATTGCACGGGAATTCGGCGCGTCGAAAAGCCGAACGAGAGAGATTCGCGTTGCAACTATTCTTACCGCACGTGGCACGCGATCCGTCTGCGTGCCGATAAGGCGTCGCTCGTATAAACACGTACTGGGACACAGAGAGGATAGAGCGACGCGTGCACGTGTATGCGACACGGCCGGTATCCGAAATGCCCGTTCGCGTTGCCCGGGGGCTTAACGTGGATCTACCGAGCTTGCGTGAAAGCCCCGTCGACCGGGCGGCGAATCGTTTGTTTGCGAGCCTTGCATCCGCGCGTCGCTTTCAAAGGGGCATTAGTTTCAATTTTTCTTCCCGTGAGAGCCGCGCAAGAAAGCGGGAGGAGCTACGCAATAAAACGAAATAACCGTGAAATAATAATACATACTGTAGCTGTGTAGTAGAAGTCGGAAGTTCAATGGTTGCGTGGCGGAAAGCAGTAGATCGTTCCGTATCACTGTGACCACGTGAAAATGTCGGTTTGACACGATGGAAAGTACGTAGTTGCGTTCTTTTCGTGTCTTTTTTAGAGACAGACAGTAGGAACTGTTATTGTTGGGAAGATATTTTATCGAGATTGTTGCGATGTTACAATTGAGTAGCTGGTATTAGTTTAATTTTTCAATTGGGTTGGCAGAAGAGTGATATATCTTAAGAATCATTAATTTTGAGGTATATCAAAAAATAACTGTAAAAGTGAGCTATTTTTGTAAAATGACACAATTCAAAATAGGGCTGTTTCAACCCTTTCTTTAACCCTCTATGGGCCCGTGTAACTTTCAAGTCACATATTAATATATCGATATTTTATTAAATAATTGAACTTTCTTCCACAAAATGGCATAAACGTCTTGTTGTACAATGTCTCCTTATTAACCAGTAACTTTCTTGATAACCGTTGTTACTTCAAAGTTACAATATGTATTCGTTATGATAAAATTGTCGAAACTGCTGAATTCACTGTTATTCTGTATTTATAGGTCGATATTTGCTAATTTTACGTTACATAAATTCTTTTACAGTCAAGAAAAATATTCGGCCCATAGAGGGTTAATAGTAAGCAGTACACATGAGCAATATTTTATTAGAGACCCTCAAAACCCCAAAAAATGTTGTCATTGTTAAATAGTTGAGTAATTCATAATTTTCTGTCGTAAAAAAATTCACACCGGGTTCGTGAAACATTTACTTTTATTAATTACGAAGTTGCCAATTATACGTCATAATATGTGAATTTCGAGAAACCAATGAAAAAAGTTAAGAAGTTGTCCATTTAAGAAAAGTGTAATAATCGTATTCCCTGTTGCTTAAATTGAATACAATTTTCGACGAACCCTCTTAATATTAATTAACAATCAATTGACCAGAAGAATACCGATCACATCGTATAAACATCCGGCAATTAATTCAAATTACCTTCAAATTGTACCGATCGCTGTAATAGCCGGGTAATTACGATTCAGCGATCGAGTGAATTGTTTCTCGGCACTTTAAAGAAATAAATCGTTCCCCATTGCCTTCTGGTTGTGGCGGTTATTAGCCGAAGCATCGCCCCAGCGATTTTAATATCACCGCGGACCATAACTCGAGGTCGCGCTAGTGGGGCCACGAATCGATTTATTAAACTCGAAGCACTCCCTTGGGCTCGCTTATTCCGAAACGATTCGCGAAGAAATGAGGCGTTTTCGAACGTCATTTCGACCCCGTCGGAATGAAACTTACGAAAATCTCCGTTTGTTCCTGTTCACCTGCCACCCCTCAAAACGCCAATTTTTTTCCCCTTTCCCCACCCTCCGGAATCACTCGTGCCAACGAATTCAATTTTAGCGAGCGCCCGGGCTTTGTTTCGCGAATCGTAATTTTATATTCCGCTTGTATCCGCCGTTGTCGATAGAACGTTTCTCTTTTTTTTTCTGTAATTTTATTTTATTTTATTTCAGTTTCAAATTGCCATTGTAACTGTGGGATTAAATCGAGCCACGCGATACCACGAGTTCGCGCCTCGTATTACGCTTCCAATGGGTGACAACTGTTTATTCGGTTTTATTGAACAAAAAACGAACAGGCGAATTGTTATCTGTTATTAGTGCAGCGATGCAATGTGCATCGTAAAGTGGAAAGTTATTAAAATAAACCGAAATTTGCAGGTTCGCGTGGCATGGGTAGTTACAGCGATTTGCTGTTGCAATGCGGTAGCATTCTGTATGAAACTCTGTATAACGCGATCAAAAAATTGCTACTGCCTCCATATGACACAATAAACAAAAAAAAGAACGTACAAATTCTGAAGCTGAAGAAACTGTATCAACACTTGAAAAGCGACGTCGGTGAAACTTAATTTCAAACAGTTCTGAGAGCGGTTAGGTTTTAATTTTACCTGCCTTTACCTTTCCTTTAACTTATTCGACACATCTAACGAAGGAAATTGTACATTTGTACTATTTTCAAATAAAATAAAACGCATCTTATTTTCCGTTACATGAACAGCAACATTTTGCACTTTGGATCCCGCATAATTCGACATTCGCATAACGCGAAATTTATCTCCCGCGTTATAGCGTCTCTACTGTATACGTACACTTGACTCAAAGATACGCTACTATTTTGAAAAGAATTTTAACGACGTATGAAATGTTTTTGTACCTCTATTTTTCTTAAATTCTTTTCTGCGACAAGAATGACGCGTAAATCTGCAACATGCAACGCGCCGTACGTTTTCGAAAGCGGCGAAAACTTGCAAGCAGCCAGGAAATCACGATTTCGCGACTCCAGATTTAATCTCCTTTTCATCATCCGCGATGCAAAACTTGCAGGAAATCGTTTCGGCCGCGGGAATGCGCGGTGTGTGTCGCTACCGTAAGGGCAGATTATGCAGGATGAAATTTACAAACGCTTCCGGGAATTAAACGCGATATCGCGGTATGCCGCGTAAGGAAGAACGTGACCCAGATTCACCGCCAAAACCGTATGGTAACTCTGTTTCGAACAGATGATCGCGTTTCGCTCGTTTAACAATTCCAGAGGTATCCGGTTGCTTTCGCAGGCGTTTACTTTTCTGCAAATTTCCGAAACTCGGCCAATCAGCGTGAAAGCGATTCGACCGCGATTTAAACAATTTTTCTCTCGAGCGAACGCATCGGGGAAAATTTCCGCGCAAGCACAAAGCTGTCTAGGAAAATACTTCGTTTCGTAATCTGTATTTGCATTTGTACATGTAGAAGTAATTTCAGATTTTGCATCCCTTATTTTTCGTCGACGCGATTAATTATCGCCGTTGTTACGTCGCTCGATGTTCCCCAAAGATAATTAGCAGTTACAGGAAATACAAACTTCAATTCATCCCCGATAATGCGCACTCTGGATTAATGAAAATTCAACGGATCTCCCGTTTTCCATCGTTCGCGAAGTGACGGGCAAAGAAAACTCGCGCGAATTCGAGGCGTGATTGGGGGTGCTCGCGTAATTAGAGCATAAAGCACTCGAATCCCTGCGCGATAACAAGTAATGCCTCTCTGTTCACGTAAAGTGTTTCGTGCGTGAGAGTGTACAAGAGACATTGTCGCGTTAACGAAGGTAGAAGTAAAATATGCGCGAGAATTTACTTCGTTTCGACGAATTCCCACCGGTGACTGTCTCTCGCGAGGATCGAGTTCTTTGAAATCGGAGAAAGAGAGTGAGAGAGAGAGATTTTTATCCGAGACTTTTACGGATATCGATTGTTTCATACTTGGGATTTTCTCCTCTGATTTTCACGTCGGATAGTTCATTCGAGAATAAACTTTCGGAAAGAAATTGGTATCGCAGTTTTTCTCCTCGTTCTCATCCCTCCCGTTTAAATTCGCACGCGTGGATTGCTTCTTTTTTTTCTGTCGTTAGCGCTGCACGAAAGAGCCGAAGCGATGAAACAATTTTTTTCCACGTTCGAGTGACTTTAATAGTTCCGATCTTTTTGACGCGCGAAATCATTGGACTATGAATACTCTCATATCGGTCTCTTCCTCTCTCTCCCTCGCTCTTTTTTTTTTTAAGCGAGCTTCCAAGTTGAATTTTCGTTCGACTCGTTTTTTTTTTCAACTACCATTTTGAATTTTTCGTTGGACCAAAAAGCTTATCGGTGGAAAAGCTTGGATGTACAGTCTCGTCTGTAAGTTATCTGACAATTTTCGAGAGAATCGTAAAAATGAAATGTGTAATTTATATTTCCTGTGAAATGTAAAAAATTAACAGCGCTAATTTTATGTCCCAGCTATTGATAATATTAATTTTTCTTTATTTCAAATCTATTTTACATGTCCAATGAATAATGGTCTATACTCTTTTGTTTTCCTATTTTTCTACATGTTCTTCAAAAGCCTACGTCTTCAGAATAAAGATCATCTGTTACCTAACAATTTTCAATAAAATCGTAGAAGTAGAATGTCTAATTTATATTTTCTCCATAACGTAAAGGATTAGCAATTTTAATTTTATGTCACAATTATATTAATTTTTCTTTATTCTAAATTCACTATACGTCCAATGGTCGATACTCTCATGCTTTTCCATTTTTCAACATCTTCAAAGTAATGAAACGAGACCTAGATCTTCAGAACACACAACAGCTGTTACTCCAGCTTACAATTTGTCTTTTCACATCGGTATATGTTAACCATCCATTGCACAACTCGTTGCAAGCTCAAAAAGCATCTATCATGCATCGTCTCGCAAATGAAACTAGCCAGTGCTACATAACATCGTGTCAACTTTACCCACCAGGGTAATGATAAAAAATTACGTCGGTGGACATTTAGGGGACGAAGAGAAGATATATAGAGTGTCCGCGTTTCAGCGATAGCATCGCGTTTGTCGTGCTTAGCTGACTCCGAGTTAGCTCTTCTTCGCATCGAGAGCCTAATGAATGCGATTACGTGGACTCACGTGGACCGGGATAGCGAGGAAAAACGAAAATTGTGGAAAACGAAGCAACCCCGGGCTTGGTTAATTGAGAAATACCACTTAAGCGAATTAACCCACTGCCGGAACCACCGAATTCAAACGGATAGCTTCCGGTCCCGGGGTCGTTTAGCGTTATCTGGCCGCGTTAACAACCCCGAAGGAACGATCTTATCGCGTCGCGATAGCTAAAGGCACTTTTTCGACCACTCGAAAGCAATTTACAGTAAATAATCGCGTCCACTGTGTTTTTAATGGGGTGCAGCTCGTAATAGATGGCTCGTGAAAGTCTTTTCCTCCCTTTTTTTGTAGCTTAAAGCTAGCCATTCGGACCCTTGGAACATTAAATTAACGCGATATCTCTCGTTCTAGTTGCCTTTTGATATAATTTTCATGGCTTGCTAAAATTACGTCCCTAGAGATAATTACGCCTTTGAAAAATAGTGAAAATTGACGAATTTTGTATTTTTACAGTGAAAAATTTGAAAAATAGAAAATAAATAATTTTGACCAAATCTGTTTATCTTCATCTTTGAGGACGATTTTCACCCCGTACATGTGAATGATTGTCGATAAGAAAAAATACGTCAATATACCAATGTTTTATCAATCAGAATGTTTCCTTATCAGTGAAGTCGTCGCTTAATCGTTGCAAAAGCACAGTCAACGCTGTGACGCACAAACGTGGATCGTTATTTTCCGTTATTCGAAAAGAGCTGGTATAGTGAAACTGCGCGATTATTAAAGTTTCAAATCTGGATTATAATCGCACGGTGTGCAATTAGCGAGATCGAGAGGATTGGCCTTCTAAGCGGTCGCGGCGGCTTCGACAAGCAAAAGCGCTCGCAAATATTTGGCAATTAGCGATTTACATTCTCCGCTTGGTGTATTATTGTCTCGGTAAATACGCAAACAGCGAAGCATTCGCGCCGATCGACGTACGGAAAGAGAGAACATTAACAACTATTTGCACACGCTCGTGTAGAACTTTAAGGGAAGCTTCCTATTAACACTCTTAACTTATCGAGCCGTTGCTCCTTGTTTACTAAATCGTTCGAGAATGAAGTGCAAACGAAGTCCATCCTACGTGTTTGCGTCTCAAACATGAAATTTATCGTAGAACTTGTTGAAAAATTTTACCGATTCACCGCTGTCAACACTTTGGACATTTGGTCTTTTGGAAAAAATCACCTTGCACAGCAACCAGAGAATTTATTTATGTAACATTGTAACAGTGGAGTCGTAAATTCCGCGTGACTCGATTGTGAAAGTAACGCGCGTTTCTTAGATTTACGATGAAACGAGTTATTAAGCAATTCTTCCTGTAAGGTTGTTTAACTCGTTGGCTATTACGTGTGTGTGTACATTCAAAGCAGCAAGTTTCGTTGAGCAATTCGTTTCACGTAAACGAACTCTTACAAATTTTTCCGCAATTCTCCCTTTGTATTTCTGTTCATTCTGAAGGATTTATTCTTGCACGTTATATCAACATCGATCACATTCGCCGAATGACCTAACTAGGTCAGTAGCAAATTGAAATAGTAAGCTATTATAAAAAACAAAATTTGTGTTAATGTATTAGGTGCGCAAATTAATTTGGCGCCTCTTTTCACCAATTTCAAAGTTTATTTAAAATAGTCTCCATTATTTTGGATAGTCTTTCTCTGTTTATCAGGTGACTAACGAATTCCCTCGCTGAAAAATCATGGCGATTTTTAATTCATAAAGTTGTCAAGACTTTATGAAAAAAGGCGCCGAATTAATTTCAAATACCTTTGTGGCGACCGCCACGGGGGGGCCACGCACTTAGGCCTGGCGACACTTGGCCCTCGAGGCGAAGAATCGAGAGATGCTTTTCCAAACATCTCCGAGTTTCTTCGTCCTCGAGGACAAGAGTATTGCCTCGGCAATGCAGGCCAGCGCCTCCACTTCCTGGGACTTTCCCAGGGAAAAGGGGCTACTCAAGGGAGGCCTTTTTTCGTAGAGCTTCTCTGCACGTTTAAACAGATATATTTTTGTTACCCACTTTACCGAATAATCATTTGCACCACGTCACTTGCAAACCTTTAAAATTAAAAAATTTTTAAATACCTAAAAATACCTAATATCTTCAAAAATTTCCACATCGTCCAAGCATAAGAAATTCCAAAAATAAAATTCCCGAGAAAAGCGACCTTAGGTCACGACGAAGCTCAAAAATAGCCATTACGCGAAGTCACTCCTTGAATGGAAGATGGAAATAGAAATCCTCGTCTCTTTGTTCCCCCGTTCGCAGGTAAACTGAATTTGCACGCTGGTGTGTGGTCGAACGACGTCTCAATGAACAAGCGGTTCTCAATAACGCGTGCAAGGTTCGCGAAAGTAGAGGAAAAGTTGGTCGACCTCGGGCGACAACCGGCGAAGATCAACGAGCCGGGAAAATTTTACGGCGCGTACGAAAATAGGCGCGATCTCTGTTCGACTGAACGAAGAGAAGGAAGACCCGACGCGCAGTTTATATCAACTGGTCGAACGAGGTGCAGGTGCAGGCATCATCTTCCATGCACGCGAGGCGATACGATTTTATTGCGGCAATAAAATCAGAATAACGCGCGCGACGAATGCGCCGCCGGTCCACGCTGACGAGCCGGAAAAACGGACCGTCGCGGCGTATTTGCGAGCGAATATAAATTTTCAGTCTTCCCAGGGGACGTGCCTGGTCCCCCTCTCGGCTCCATTGGTATATCCGCGACGATCTAACGAACTGACCGAATTGGTGTTACGCTATGAAAGGTAGATTGCAAATAACGCTGCATCGAAGGGTCTGTTTTTTTTTTTCTGATTACATTGGAGGGGATGTTTGTTGGTTCGCGGGGATCAGAGTGTCCTTTGAATGGACAAGATGTTTCAATGGTTTCAATCTGTGACGTTAATCCTTGGAGCTATTACAGCTTATATGTAACCCTTATTTAACCCTTTCGCTACGGTAGATTTTAGTACGTAACGCACGTAGCCGCAAAATCTTTTGTTTCGGTTGTATCGTTTTAAAATTGGTTTCATTAAATTAAGGTAGAAATACTTAAAAGAGGTACTGTAAAGTGCGAGTAAATTTTCAAAGGGTTAATACATTCTTAAAAAACTATCAAACGATAAATAAAGTAATTAGATAAATTTGTTAGAAGAAAATAGAAGGAAACTTAAACAGAGTCTTTTAGTACTATAAATTATGTCACACAGGGTGGTTTATTTCTTTCTCCCGAAATACCTTCGTTGGACCGTTACAACTCGCGATAAAAAAAAGTACCAATTCCACAAGTGAATTCACATGAAAATTTATTACCAGAAAGTACCGTCGTTACCAGAATCGCTATCGATTCGAGTTAGTCCCACATTAAGAGGGCCTCGGCTCGCAGCGCCATTTCGTCGAAGAGATAAAGAGAACGAGAGATCTGGTTTTTGCATTCATTGATGGGCTCGTGGCGGGCAAAGAGCGACGAGGAAAGAGAGAGAGCTGCATGTGTATGTGCAGTGTGGACCCTTTTCACTCGACGTCAGCCCCTCCTGATACCGCATAAAATATAGTATTGTTCGCGCTCTGTTAGTCTAGAGTGGAGAACGAGTATATTTAGGAAAGGGCGGCCTTTCTTTCATATGTTAAGCAGATCAGTGTCGGCTGACGAGAGATAGAGGGGTGAAAAAAGGGGTGTAGCTCTGGGTGTTGGAAAACGGAAGAAGCGAGAGAGTGTATAGTACGCGGGGACCACCCCATCGACTTTTACCCCGAGAGAGAATCGTGGCACTGCGTTCTCCTAAATGATTGCTGGCTTGGCTTAATGTTGTGAAAAATAGCCACGTACTACCCCGCGCATTCTACGGGATATTTTTCTTTATAAAAAGGCGAAAGCAAAGTGATGAATCCAATTTTTTAACATCGCATAATTCGAAGCTTTTCGCGTTGGTAGACTCCTGCCGCTGCGATTTCCACGATTTATATTCGTCGCGTATGCTACGCTTCTCCCTACTCGCTTGGTTCGTCCTCGCGGAAGGACGTTTTGCAAGAAGAAACGAGTTTATTTTCGAGAGTTTCGAGGACGATAAATCTGTTCGCCTGGCGCGTAACTGTGTGAGATTCGAAATTAGTTCGATATTTTAGTTAGGCAGGCTCTAAAAGCGAGGCACATCTCGAGGTGAACAGCACCGGGGGCTGCTCTTCTTTTGTCGGGCGCGACGCGACGGTGAAATTTTTATTATGCGGTGCATCTTCGCGCGCACCCTCGTGAATTAAAGCTGTCTCGATTTTACGATCCGGAGAATAGCGGGACCAAGTGTCTCGTAATACTTCTCTTTGACCAAGGAAGGAAGGAAGGAAGGAAGTAAGAAAGGAACGAGGTTCTTCCTGGCTGCTGTTACAAATCAGATCTAGGCCACTTGAAATGTAGCGCGCTTTTTAAGTTCCGTCATGCACCGCGACGCTTTATCCCCTTTCGCGACAGAGGAATAAAACGGTGCTCGGTTCTTAACGGATTCTTCGAGCGGCGTGATTCTTGCAAGTGAGCGGGCGCGTTCTTGAACTCTCGAGAGGAAAAAGCTCGCAAACCAAACCCGCAAGAAGAAAAAATGACATTTCGACATCGTCGATGTGTAAAATACTCGAAAATTTCAATTCATTCTGAGAGAAAAGAGTGTCTCGCTTGAATGCAAAATCTTCACCGGGCAAACTACCAACGCGTTACTCCAAACCCGGGCCTCGTACATAAAATCTCGTTTAAATCTGACGAGCTTAATTGACGTTTCACTCGAGAGCGTTTCTCATTTTCGCGTCTCTGCCAATTGAGGTTCATACGTCGCGTCGCTTCGACGTTCATATCGTCCCCGTTCCGCAAATAAAAGCCGCAGCGCGCGCGCTCGATGAAACGAGAAATGTCAGCGACGCTGTTACGTGTCGTGTAATTCTAACGAGCTTTATCACGCCGATATAAGTCGTTGGCGGGCTTTGCTCGGCTTAGCGGGACAGACGAAACGAAAAGGGGGATGAAGAAGAAGAAGAAAAGGCACGCGACAAACCGCCACGCGAAATAGCAAAGGGAAGGAAACAACGAACAGAGACTAGCACACCGTTGCTGGCACAAGCGTTATTATAAAAGTCGTAATGAAAATCTAACGATCTCCCGGTTGGACAATACCGACGGAGAAATGAATTTCCTCGAGATCCCCCGAAACGACGTGTGTTTAATCTTATCCTTTACTTTCTCTTGCAGAACACGTGAGGGAATTCAGCTGCGGGATGCTGTATTACAGGACTCTGTACCTGGACAGTAAGAGGGACGCCCTATACGTCGGCGCAATGTAAGTACTATTCTTTTCCTCCCCGTTGCCTCGATTCCGACACCCCTTTCTCCCCGTCGTTTTTTCTCACGTAATAAAATGTCGTACGAATGAAAATCCCTCCTACCTATCTGATAAAAGTTGCGCTTCGTTCGTTGTCGTCGTCAAAGCGCCGCGAGCAGAGAACTCCGCGAATAAAACCGTGGATATATATGCGCGTGTGTGTGAATGTACGTGCCGCGAAACGAATTTTTATGATTCCCGTGATTAAAATTCTGCGCAGGAGGGACGGGAACCGTGGCGATTGATTAAATTTCTCGGTGACATCGAACATCGGATAATCCATGTTTTGAAATACTCGCTGTATTACACGCGGCGTGGACACAAGCCCGGCTTTCGCCAAGATAATTATCGTCCTGCTGATTGCACCGAATTGCCATCCCTTCCGCTGCCGCTGCCGCCACAAAACCCACCCATCCTGCGTTTCACAGTCGGGCAACACACGCGATGGATCGGTTTTTATACGGGGATGCCTTATATTGCCCCGGCCGCGTGCGTGTGGCCGAATCGACGCGCAATTTCGCGTTATTTATCTCCACGGGCTCCAGATTGAAATGAAAAGTAACGTTCCGTTCGACAGCGTAACTGGGTCGCGCGTGAAATGTTTCGTGCGTGCAACGTCCACGACTGACGCGAGCTTTTCGTATTTCGCCGTGACTGATCGAGGTCTGGGCGAAGCGTGTTCAACGACGTTGTTTCAGATTGTTCTTTGGTTGCTTTGTTTTGCTGGAATTGAAAAGTTTGTTCGTTTGAGGGTGGAAACGGTAGGTTGGTAGGGAAATGAGCGGAGAATGTCGCGTTAAACGAAACGGTATTTTTTTCTATTCGGGAGAATTAGAAATCGAACGAAAAATTTATAAGTTTGCGTAGTATGTAAGAAAAGCTCGCGGATTTTGAGTTTAATAGTATATCGTGATGGAATTTCTGGCATCCTCGTTTCTTGTTGATCTGAGACAGTTAAGAAAACTACCGTGAAATTCTTCTTTGTGTATTTCGAAATCAGTCAAATTTCTAAGATGTTCAAAATTAAGAAAAATGTCTTCGGGAACTTCTGTCACACGCTATACAAGTAATATCGTTCGAGTGTCAGTTTTCAAATTGATCACATTTTCGCAAAAATATGAAAGGATCGTACGTCGACATTCGTCTAAGAATTAGATACGTAAATACAGTACGTTTGGAGGATTATTTGGCGTTCTCTCTGGTCGTCGTCGCAAGCTTCGCGAGCGTTTCTATGCTCCTTTTCGTAATCGGCCCCCTCCGCGGTATTTGCACGCACTCTTAGCTCAAGCACTGAAATATATACCCGCGTTTATGTACCGGATCGTTCTTCTGTACACGAGGGGGATGACCAGGTTTCGTTTGCTAAACGTTTCAATTTGCAGAAAGGTAATTTACTGAAACCTTCGGGGCACGGCAGAGACAGCGGGGCGTGGAACGAAGGAGTGAATTAAATTCGTTTCGAACTTCTTTTTTTAAGCAACGTTTCCGATTAATCTTGACAAAGCGAATGGAGAAAAGGACGTTTTTCTTTTTTTTTTTTCAGTTACAGTCACGTGTAATCAAGAATTTGAACGGAGATTAATTTCGAACTAAGGATGCACGTAAATTGCACAAATTCTTTGAAATATCTGTGATCGAGATTGGACAGGTGTAATTTGAAGCAAGATGTATTTGATAGAAAATAAAATTATATCGTTACGTTTAAAGCTAACTTCGCCAATTCTAACATAGTTCTACATACTTCTCTGCCTCTGAAAACCACATTCTGCCCTAAAAACCACACTCTGCCTCTCAAAGCCACATCCTCACTCTCAGAACCATACTTCGACTCTCAAAACCATCTTCTCATTTTCAGAACCACACTCTGACTCTCGGAAACTCGCTTTAAATCTCGAAACCATAGTCAGCCTCTCGCAACCCTGACTTTATTAGCAAGAAAAATCTCTTTCTTCGCCTTTTGTCTCTTCCACAATATACCCACGCTTCTTCTAAATTTTCCCCATTAAAAATGATCAACACATTAGCGGGCCTCTCTTGCATTATCGAGGATTTTTACAAAGAACCTAACTTCTGTCCCTATCGACCACCTTTTCCTCTTTCCCAACCTTCATCCTGCGCTTTTTAAAACTACGTACACGAAGAGGCAGCACTTTCACGATAATAACAGAGAGGAAAATGCAGATCCATCGGAATAAACTGATTCCCTATCATCGTCCTAACCGTGTAATTTAGCTTTCAACTTAAATACTTCTCGCTGTGACAAGCACAATACAAATCTCTTACAACGCAGTCGTAATACAATATTCCAGCGACTGGGCTATCGTTTCTCCTTCAGCACGAACGTCGTCGAGGGAGCGAAAAAGTGGGGTGCCTCCTTCTCGGGGGTGGATAGAGAGATTGTAACGGGGGACGTTGCATCATTACTAACAGAAGTATTATTTCTTGATTCGGTTCCAACCTTTTCCTTTCCACTCCCCTCCACTATCCTGCCGGCCATTCACTAGCGTTTTCTTTTGTGCGCCGCCCTTCTTAATTTGGTAAATGCCAGCAAAATGCTACGCGACTTTGGTAATGGAGAGGCTACGTCTTTCAGACATTGCCGGATACACAAACCAGAAGAGAGGCTCTTGTACGAGGCAGGAATAGCAGTCGCGTAATATATTTATTGCGACAGCAAGTAGGGAAGAGGACCTTCGCGATTTATGCAACGATCGAAATTTCGTTCGTCTGATTAAAAACAGTGTAACGTGTTTGTCTGTGTTGTTAAATGTTAACCCTTTAGCGACTAGCGCCGGTTATATCCGGCATCCGCTAAATGCTTCACACTAAGCGCGTCGCCTTGGCTCGCGCCTCAACAACTCAAAGTGAAGATTTATTTTAAAATACAGAACAAGGCCTCGACAACATTCCCTTTATCCGATACACCCTTAAGTCCTCTGCTGTTCCAACGAAATCCTCCAAGATTTGAAAAAACGCGAGACACTCTTAATGTGTACGGTGTGCACTAATGGCACGACGAGCCGTTCGTTAGTCGCGTACTGATGGCTAGTTCCGCCATCAGGGTTAAAGAGAATTGCGTTATTTTACATTTTTAATGTAATTTAAGTTTGACCATTAATGGGGCAAATAGCGTAACGGTTGTGTGTGTAAAGGGTGTTAGAGGAAATGTTCGCGAGAGAGGGTGGAAAGACGTACTAATCGGAAAAATGAATGTAAAATGTTGTGTACGCAAGGGTAACAGATCAACCCTTAAGGAAAATACATGTTTTAGTTCGAGCACCGCAAAGTCGCGTGCTTGTGTTGTGAATGATTTATCCGGCTTACGATATCGAGTAAAGGGTGCATATCAAAGAGTACGGACTAAGCTGGAAAGTTTTCAAGAGTAGGAGAACATACTTTTTCGAATGTTCGAAGATTCTTTGGAAATGAGAGCACGGGAGAAAAGAAGCTTGTTATATGTAATTCGATGAGAAATAGAAAATAATAATTTTTCTTATTGTATTGTTTACATGCGATAAATTACGAATGCAGAAAATAAAAGTAGCATTTCTTTAGAATATTCTTGAAGGAAATGTGCGTTAAATATACAATGAAAATCAGTTGAAAGGATCGTCATTAGGAATTGCTACTTTGCGATAATTGGAACCACTTTATCGGCCTCGTGTCGAATTTTCCCCGGATTACGAATAGAAATTGTATGGATCACGTTCATAAGGACGATTGATTTTGCTTATGTTTATCGTATTTACCGGTGCTCGCGTGGTCCATTTGCCAAATAGTCGGGATAATGAAAGTTTAATCCTGACGATGTTCGATAAAGTAGCATTATGCTAATCTAATAGGTAATTTCAGGATAATCGGTACATATTGAATTTCACTACGTGTCGATGAACAAACTATTGAATTTGGCATCTGTATAAACTCACTTTCGTGCAAAATGATACCGAGTTTGCAACGCGATCATCGAAACACATACGCTCGTGAAGCATTCGCGTAACAATACAGAAAAACAAGTAATTCTCCTCTAATTCGTTAAATCTCTAGTTTATCACATCTGTAGAGTTTGATGGTTTCCGTGACCAAGACCGGACAGCTGCAATTTAAAATAAAAATATATTTCATAAATAGTAAAACGGTGTAGCTAATCTTTAACCCTTTGCACTCCAATGGCGTTTTTATGGCGACACGCGTAATGACTTTGGAGAAAATTTTTATATTATTTTATATTATCAAAATAATGCAAATTAACACAAGAAATACAAATAAATAAATTCGTAAACACTAAAAATCCTTTTTTTTTTTCAAGACACAACTTTGGCTTTCCAAAAGTTTCACTATTAATCTTATCAAACCATGCTCGGAGTGCAAAGGGTTAATATCATTCCTATTGTCCCTCAAAACCACACTGCTTCTCATTAACCCTCGGAGTACTGAACCGCGGAGTCCACTTCTGACTTACGCCTTCTCTCCTCCCCGCGCTTCTTTCTCACGGATACTACTGAATCGGTTTTAGGTTACATTCGGATTTTTATTGCATGCATACGAAAGAATAAAAATCGTGAATTATAGAAAAAAGGATATTTATTCTACAATATAAGCAAGAAAACAATATAAACATTATGAAGAGAAATATCGTATACGTCTTCCACGGAACGCTATAAAAGATTGAATTGTCGTTTGTTATTTTTTCGCTGGGTCTATAGGAAGCAGGCGATCGTCTTCTGATTGGGAATCTCACGTACACGCAGCCCCGCCATCTGCGTTATCGCTCGCGAGACGACGCGTCCGACTGCGAAACCTGTGACTCCGGCACAGTATACGAAGGGTTAATCCTGGTCGGGTCAAATATGACCCAATATCGGTGTGGCCTCAGACTCGTGATAAAACTAGCTGCAATGCTTCGGAAATTTATCCTACTGCACACGTGTTACACTCGAAAGCCTCAAACACTATAAACC